GTTTGGTTTTTATTATATTGCTGATTGATCATTCCAGTTTTCAGATCAAGAACGTCATTAATCAACATAATTGAATCCAAAATTTGTTTATTTTAATAATAAAGAATGGTTGGTGAGAGATTGTCAATATAATTTATTTGTATGTGTAATAGGTTCAGTCACCTTTTTATCTGAAAACCATAGCTGGAGGTTGAAGGAAGGTATCTCTCATTTGACAACCTTATTGATTTTTCTTTTTCCTTTTTTTTTTTTAGTTTTCTTGTTTAGCTTTGAGTTTAATTTGGTAACCTGTTATTTGATGATGAAGCAGTTTATTTCTCTGTTAGGTAGGTTTAACTTTGATTTTTTGACACGAGATATTTCCTCATTTAACTTTATCAAACATCCCAATCACTAATTTGCCAATAAAATAATAAGTTATTTATATGTTGCTAAGCGTTTTCCTTATTTAGTATTTATATGTTACGACTTACGAGTTAAGAACGAGCTTAATTGAAAAGATTTTCTTTGGTGAAAGACCAGTGGCTTCTTGATATTTGAATAATATCACTATTATAAAACAGACAAGTGACATTTTGACGTTTGGAGATGAAGAAATTATTAAGCTGGCGTTTTAAGAATTTTATTATGAGTTATTTGTTTTTTTTTATTATCAAACATATCATAATATAAAATATTTATACATTTTAATAGTACAGAGAAGATTTACTAGATAACAGAAATATGTAAAAGGGGAAACGTGCGATGCTCTTGCCTAATCGTGATGAGGTAGTAAGAAGGCATGAGGATAATAATAATATAGTAAAGCAGAGATATATGAGAGTAAATATTTACCACATGCTAATTTTTTATATGACAATATGTTGGAGTGAATTCAAGCATTGTCATATCTAATTATGAGTAGGTCTTTTAAAATTGTCTCATGCATGCAAATGAATTTGAATTCGAGTTTTTGTGCTTAAATAGTCATAATATTTTCTATTATAACAAACACTAGTTAGTACCACATATTAATTTTAATCTTCAAAAAATGTCATGGAGATGGTGATACTGCTACATATATATTGTATCACAGAATACAATTTCATTGGAGAAGGACGGCAGACCCACAGAATAACAATGGGGAAGGCCTCAATTTTTTACCAATAACTTTTCAATGTTCGTCGATAAAAGGAGATATTGCCTGTCCTAATTTTAAGTGATGTAGGGATACATACTTTATCATGTTTTGAATAAGATTGCCTTGAGTAAAAAATTAAAAAAAAAAAAGAAAAGAAAAGAAAAGGGGAAATGACATTTAGGGGCGTGGGGAGAATTGCAAACTACACCAAGAGCCATGCACCAAGTTTTGGAAGACACATTGAACGACCCATGTCCTTGATGAGCTGAGTGATAAATTAGGGAACTTAATATGTACTTAATAGTGGTTTGTTTTTATTTTTTATTTTTAATGAAAATCAGTTATAAATTGGGAATAAAAATCAATCAATTTGCCATTGGTAATTTGATATTCAACAATTTAGAAGTAGAAGTTGCAAACAACCAAGCTCTTTCATCAAAGTGGGAGTCCTTGAGCCAAATATTGCAAGATCCCTGAAAGTCATTTTCCCAAAAAAGAATGTGAGAGAGAGAGAGAGAGAGAGAGAGAGAGAGAGAGAGAGAGAGAGAGAGAGAGAGAGAGAGAGAGAGAGATGTTGGAGTGGAGATAGAAGGGAAGACATGTGATTGCTTGTGAAAGCAGATAGCATCTCAACTCTCTTTGCCTGGACAGCTATTCAATGAATCTCTTTGCATCTTGTCTTCCTAACGTCCTCCTCAAGGCATCCTTCCATTTGGCCCGGCTTTTTTTTTAAAAAAAAATTTCTTCATTTATTCTTAACATTAATATTTACTTATGTATTCTTATTTATAAATTATTTTTAATTATCTCGTGAACTAAAGAAATGTAATTAATTAAGAAAATTGCATTTAAGGATTTGTAAAGAAAATTATTTAGGGACAAGATCCAATATAATAACAAGTCACTATTTGAGAAAAAAAACAAATTAATGTTGTCATTTTAATAATATTTTATTTTTTATTAGTCATTGTTTATGAATAACATTTTTCATAGGTCCTTGTATGTGATTTTTTCTAATTAAATTATTGATAGTGTTTGGAAAAAAAGTTTTTTTTTCAATTTTCTTTTATTAAATGCATCATCTTTTTTTAAAATTAAATGTATCATCTTTAAAAGAATTTTTCTCTCTTGTAATTTTTTTTTCCTTCTACTAATTGAAAATTATAAAAGGATAAAACTAAAAAAAATTAATGACCCACATTTTTATATAACGTGACTTATAAAAAGGCCCTTAAATTCCTTTTGAAAATGACTTTGATAAGATCGAAAGGAGCATGTGTAATTGACAATAAACAGGCTTTTATTCTTTTAATTTACCCAAATGAACTCCTTCCTCTAACTCTAACTGTGTGCATTTAAAAACAAAAAAGCTGTGCGATTCATCATATTCTTCAATCTTCATCTCACTTTTCTCGATCACTTGCTCTGTTTAATTTACTTCCAAATCTTGAATTTGAAGGTATCCATTTTTCCTTATATTGATGGCTTAAAACTTCAGGAACAACCCTGACACAATGGTACTTTTTCTTTTCAAGGCACATCAAAAGAGAAAGACAAAAACAAAATTAGGATACCCAAAAATAACTTCCAAACCCCCACATGGCTGGAAAAAAAAAAAAAAAAGACTTCCCAATAGAATATATGCTCTCCTCCATAAATATTACCGCTCAATTTTATATATATATATATATATATATATAACACACACACACAAACACAAATATATAGATGAAGAAGCATAAGGATCAGCATCAGCATCACCATCGTTGTGGAAGTCGTTCTATATTATTGCGGAAAGCCTGTGACTTTGTGAGCAGGACCCAGCTGTGAACAATGTGGTTCCATGTGATTCTGATTTCATGCATCCGTTAATGTCCTCATGGGGGCAAAAAAGGAATACTTTTGCCCTTTCATTATTATTCTAATACTCTAATTCTATTCATGCTACCATTTACTTTTTCCCCTAAGTTAATAAATTTAGATGAGCTAAGTCCGTTGGATTATTATCAAAATCGAGGTCATCGATATATAATATAAATCCATAAGAGCTTGCAATATTGGTAACTCATAGATAATATTATTCATTATACAATCCACGTGAAAAATGAAATACATAATTTACTTACTTTAAAACGAGTCAATTTTCTGTTATGAAAAATAAGGCTCTAGATCATATGATGTAATCCATTGGTTACAAGATATTAAAGTAATAACCAAGTCCACCTAAAAAATTTATCAATGTATCAATACAAAACCAAAAAACCAAAACATGTTTACTTACCTGGTCCATATTAGTGCAACTTGATTATTGACTTTTCGTACCAAATCTTGGCTGCTTCAAAATGATTTGCAGCTCAATAGCTTTCCGTTTTTATGGGCTTCATGGGCTATACTTTAGAGTGCAATGGCTCTGCACGTTTTTTTTATTTTTTTTCCCTTTCATATGTTCTCTTGTTGAAGTCAATTTTATTCCAGACATTATCAAGCACTAGATATAGGTACCTATTATAGTGGAGATTTGAATCTTGATTCATTAAGTTATGAGAAATTAGACCCTTCAGCTAGACTCAACTCTCAATTATGCAAAGTTTATTATGTTGCTTTACAAAAAAACAAAAATCTAGAGGCCCGAAACAAAGAGGAAAATACGTTGGTGACTTTAATCAGGTCTATCTCACGCGCATCGCTGATAGGATTATTGGGATTGAATTAATATTTCCAAGCTGTTATAAATGTGTGTGTGTGTGTGTGTGTGTGTGTATTCAATCTTTGAAAAATATTCTTAATTTAATTTCATAATCATTTTAGTTCTTTCAATCGCAATGGACCTTTCATCCTCCAAATTTACAATTCTTCATAAATTAGTTAATATCCATAGCCCACAACTGATCTAGTTGTCAGATATTGGCATAAATATGATATAACTTAAATACAGATTGAAATTTTAAACATTTTGATCGAAATTGTTTCATTTATTAAAATTTAGAACATATTAATTATAAAAACATGGACATCTCATCTGTTTAATTTTCAAATACTAAAATATTTTCTTAATAAATTTTGTTTGGTACTTGAATTTTTAAAATACAATAAAATTTGACAATTTGATTTATGTTTATTTTAAATAGCAAAATATTAAAATAATATAAATATTTTTTCTTTGTTAGCTATTAATTAGATAAATATGTGCAGCTGTCCACTAATTGAGAGAATATGGGATTCCTTTGTGACGGTATTTAACTAATCAAACAGGTAATTCTTAACCACTCGCATTAGAAACCTTTTTTGGGTAGAATAGAATTAGATATCTATATTGAAAAGATAACATTTAATTTGCCAATAAATAAAAGCTTCTTTTGGGCTGACGTCAACCCAACCTTTCAATGATCCAATCAACTCTACAATATCTACATGATTGAGTTGGACCCGAGAAGTTCATAAAGCAGGAAAAATTTGCAAAAGCATAATGAATCTGGAATACTCGTGAGTTTCTCAATAATTTTTTTTTTTTTTTGCCAATCCAAAGGCCATTTAGTTTTTCTCATGCTTCATATCGATTTCAGTTAAATCAAAGTCCTAAGAATAAATTTCGTTGCATTTTTTAATTAAACATCTATCCAATGTCTACGACCAATTCTTCCGAAACTATGAAAAGCTCTACATACATAGGGGAAAACTTTTTTTTTTTTTTGGGGGGGTGGGGGGAGAGTGGAACTCATTTATCTGCTAATAATTATATTATAATGTTTATACATACTCCAGAATTCATATTCGGATTTATATTTCTGAATTCACAGAAGTTGAGTGGTAGTATTCAACAACGCACAAGGGGTAAATTTATCGAACAGGAACCCCAATGAAATTAAACCGGCAAAAAACATTTGCTTAATTTGGAAGATTGGTATATTAATAATTATAAAATGAAGAATGAAGTTGACAAAAAAATTATTTCTAATGCTAACCATGGGCCAGCTCAAACTCACGAAAGATATTAATCTTTTTAAACGAAACATCAACCTCAGCATCGTCATAGGCAAAATAAAGATCTTGCATAGTATTCAACTTCTTGTTCCCTTTGGGTAGCCAACCAAGCCTAGCTCCCGGGTGGATCAAATTGCAGCAGAAAACAATACACTTGAATCACATTGGAGGTCTACCGGAACCAAGCAGCTGTCCGACTAGGTTAGTCACCTGGCAACAACAAGAAAACAATGCTTATACAACACGGCTACTATTAACAGTTGACATTTTGAATGACACAGATTTCATGATCCAAAATATGAAAAGATTGAAATCAATGTGATGCTTCCATGATTCCATATAATATATGATTGCACAAGTGCAGATGGTGCTCGAAATTTTATAGTGTCGAATTTTCAAGGCACCTTAAATCGCAGACATTTCATTGGAAGCGCACTTACACAAATGTCAAGCAAAATGAAAGGACATATGAAATGAAACAAGATGAAACAAAGTTCGTGAAGTTTTCATTTTAAAACATGTAAAATTACCCTATTATTAGAAAGGAAGAAGGCGTACATAACTAGTAGACAAACGGATAAAGAGCGCGTATTATCAAAAAGGGAGGGAAAAAGAAAAAGAAAGTGTTATAGTAATAATTAAAAATCAAAAGTAAACAGGCAACATCATACCTGCCAGTATTTTGAAACACAGCGGTCAATGCAACTATTTTCACCCATATTTAGCTCAGACTCTTTGTACCTAAGATAAAGTGGCAAACAAATGTCAGTATTTGGCTATTTGCATTCAACCTTTATACATATAATCCCGCGTCTAGAAGCGGATAACTCCTTTTAAATAAATTTAAAACGAAAGAGAACAATTTTTCTTCCAGAGTAGTTAGATGCCTTCAAAGAACAAGAAAGTGATCTTTCATCAATGAGTTCGTACAATTTAAACAAGGGTTATAAGAAGAAAGTTTCATACCTTTTGTCAACACATTTGTTGAAACAGGTGTGAGTCAGCCTGAATAGAAAAAACCAAGGGGTTAACCATCGTACGTAGCATGTCATATGACTCAAATAAAGCTTGTGAAGTTCTCCAAAATTAAGTCACCAAAAAGAAGTCCGCAACCATTCATAAGCCGTGTGGTTCTATGTAAACACTGAGCTGAAATTAAGGAACTATAAGAGTACTGTGGACTAAAGATCCACCAAGAGAGCAGGGAGGGCACAAATCAATCACAGAATAGCTCATATCATAATCAGTAGACTTCCCTTCAGGATATAATTCCATCCACTAAGTTCACATGAGTGGCAGAAAACTCAAAAGTGGTGGGAGAGGAGTTAACTTGTATGATAAGGATATGTGAAGAAAACTTGGTCTAATTAGGTCCGCACTCCCCACCTCAACAACATAACAAATTGAATTATCTAAGAAATAACAACTGTGAGGGAGAGAAGCATTTGGAAAACTGAATTTTGAAGTGCCAGAAACATACTTGTTGAACAACTCGACCCTATATTCCATCTCCTTTTCGGCCATTCCAAATATCTGCACCATCAACACTAGCACTATTCAAAAGCATCCAAAACGAGCAAATAATAAAAAATCAAATCAGACAAATTCATGCTTGAAAGCTTAAATGTTTATTCAAACAAATGCGAGTTAGTTAGGGGGTTATAGCGTAGTTAGAGAGGCTAGGTTGTTAAGTCTCGGGTATTTTATAGTAATTACTAGGCTTTTGGATATCATAACGGAGACTTAAGTTCTGCTCTATGCTGCCTCTCTCTCTAGTATCCTTCTTCCTATATATATCATCTTCCCCTTTCATCTTCTTTCCATGTGACAAAACCACATTGAAATGGATCACACTGATAAATTGACAGAAACTCGAAGATTCATAACAATGAAACAGATAGGTAAAGAGAAAACAACATCAAACGCCACATCAATTTGCAAGTTACATTCCCAGTAAAGCAGGGGAAAACTCACTTAAATACATCCGGTACCCAATTCAAGGGCAACCAAAAAATATAATTAGAGTATTACCAGGGGGAAAAAAACGATGAACAGAGGACGCAAAAGAAAAGAACGGTGATAAGCGCAGAAATTCCTTTATCAGCGGCCAATATATCAAAGAAGTCATTAGAATACCTGCCTGTTCTTTATCCAAACCCGAGGGCGCATTGTTATTGGCAGCCATGGCACCCAAGAAATCTACACCAAGAGGAAAACACACTCAAATTTAGAAAGAAAAGCGTGGAAATGTGAACTCTGAGAGGGAACCTATTTGCTTGTAGGGTTCCCGAATTAGACGGAGCGGCACTGGCAGAAGGGGAAGTGTAAACAAGCTACAAGCTCCGGCGCTCCGGACATGTACCTAGGGTTTAGAAGAATTTAAAAAAAAAGGCATTGAACAATTAAAAATTTAAGAGTCATCCATGCACCGCTCTCACTGTTTTTTTCCCCACAAAGGTTTATAAATTGTTGGTCATTGTTATAAAATAATAAATATATAAGATATTTTTATATTTTTTATATTACTGTTGTTCAAGATATTTTTTCATTTTTTAAAATTATATCATGTAATTTTAAATGAATGCAAAATTAGAAACTTATTCAATTATTTGATTGATTGATTTTTCAAAAGTAGTTAATGGGTTGTAAACATCTTATAATTTGAAAGTGCCTTTTAAAGAAACCAAATATATTATTATGTGAATTATTAAATTCAAAAATTTCATTAATATATAATAATTATATACTCCCTTCATTCAAAAATATAAGATATTTTTTGAATTAAATATTAAAAAATATAAAGTATTTTTAATCTTCTAATATGTAATCAATGTCTTTTTTTTTAAATTATTTCTGTTGATATTAATTTTATATTTATTATAAAATATTTAATAAGAATAAATATAAAAATATAGAGTTAGTTTGAAAGTAGATAATTATTTTATTAAAAAATAAAATTTAATTAAAAATATTTTATATTTTTAAATAAAAAAATAATATATAATTGACAACTATAGCTTCTTTCATGTAAAAACACATATTGTTATTGTTAAAATTATATATTTATTATATTTTGATTTAAAACTTAACAGTTGGAGATATTATGTACATAACCAAACATTATTTTTATATAATATAACCCCAACATATAATTACTATTAATGTTTAATACTTAACAGGACGATAACTTTTTTTTTCTTTTTTTTTTGTGTGGGGTCTAGAAAACTATAAAATAATTGAAATCGTTGGCTGCGTTTTGCAGCACTAGGCCTGGCTTGACTGAAGACCCTATGGCCTAAGGCTAGGCCACGACTCGCCTAAAAATTACTGTTAAACAGCCCAAATTTTGTTAGTCCTTCAGCCCAATTTGAATGAACAAACAGCTTTAGGCTAAAACACACTGATGAACCACTAACATACACTGGTCCTGGTGCAAGGGATTATGATGATTGCTTAAGCATAAATTCTCAAATTTGAGTCCATATAAATGCAAAAAATGATTTATGAAAAACTACTTTCAATTGAACCTAATAATGTTCAAATATGATCTTATAGCTACATAAAAAAAAAAACACACACACACACACACGGATGAGTAAGGCAATGAGTTGTATCTAATTCTTCTTAGTACCTGAATTCATTAGGGCGCAACAAAGAGAAATCACATTAACGCAGATAAGTTAATTAAAATATAATGGATTATGGCCCAACAAACAGAACACACGATGGGCTTGATTATTATTTTTTTATGACAAAAAGAAACAAGAATGTTTTGCTGCATGAGCTTGTGTCTTTCTGGGCAAATTGACTTGGGTACTACAAAAAAATAAATAAATCATTTACTTAAGTACTACACGTTAAAATTATTTCCCCACGTACCATAAATTTAAAATTGATTTATATCTCTAATTTATTTTTTTTAATATTGGAGTACAAAGCTCGATCTCTGCTAGACCGAGTTTTGTACTTGCATATATAAAAAATAAATAAAAGTTTTAAGTGTAGGCTGTCATGCATAATTTCCCTCCTTGTATCCCACTCTCTCTATTCCATGAGATTTGTTTTCTTTTTCTTTCTTTCTGGGCCAGGAGATTTCAACGTGTGATCGTGTATCTATGTATAATATAAATAATATATTATATATCAAAAAAATAATATATTGCTTTATTAATATAATTATAATAACTATATACTTCAAAAAAATATTAATTATAAATCAACTACGTAATCAGTAACATCATCAAATTACATAAATTTAAATCATAATATATAATCTTAGAGTTAAAACATTAAAAATTATTTTTCCCCCTCAACGTTTTACCAGCAGTGTTTGGGCACCATATAGGATAGGGCAATATCATTCATAGGGTTAAATTGTTATTTTGTCAAAAAAATATTTTATCTCCTTCATTATCTATTGATATGAAAATGAAATAGTTATCACTGTATGCGAACCTTACAATTATTTCATATCTGCGGATAACAAAGAAAATAATGAATCTTTGACAGATGTTAACTTTAATTGCTAACAAAGTATTTTGACTAAAAATACACCCACAAATAATTTTATCTATTGTATTAAATTATTTTTAAAAGTTAAAAATAATATATGTAAGCTCACAAAATTATTGAGTCAGCTTTCTTCTTTCTATTCTTTTATTAGGCCCATTTGTTTTAGCAAATATACCCACAAAATAATTGATTATTTTCTGAAAGAATCATTTATTTTGAAAAAAAAATTATTTTATGAGTTTTTATTGTGTTTGTTGAAATTTTTAAAAATAATCAAAATATGAAAAAAAAAAGCATAAATCTAATTATTTTAAGAAGTTATTTTAATCTTTTAAAAATAATTTATTATTGAGTATGTTTTTAGTCAAAACATTTTGTTACCAATCCAAGTTAACATTTACAAGAAATTTGTTATTTTTTTTATTATCTGCAAATATAAAATAATTGTAAGGTCCACGTACAGTGATAACTATTTCATTTCCATGTCAATAAATAATGAGGAAAATAAAATGTTTTTTGAAAAAATAATAATTTTGCTCTTAAAAAAATTATTTAGAGTACTACTAGAAAAATGTTGAGGAAAAAAATGATCTTTAACAATTTAACCCTAAAATTATATATTATGATTTAAATTTATGTAATTTTACGATCTTATTGATTTCATAGTTATTTTATAATTTATATATATATATATATATATTTGAAGTATATAGTTATTGTAATTATATTAATGAAATAATATATTATTTTTTTGATATATAACATATTGTAGATACACAATTACACAAAAAGAAAACATATTTCGTGAAATAGAGGAAGTGGGATGTGGGGAGGAAAATTACGCGTGACAGCCAATACTTCAACTGTCAACCTGCACTTGAGGCTTCTATTTTTTTATATGTAAATATAGATCTTGGTCCAGCAGAGACCAAGTTCTGTACTCCAATATTAAATCAAAAAAAAAAAAATAGAACTTGGTTTGCTATAAATTGAGTTTTAAATTTGTAGTATGGAAAAAAATAATTTTAAAAATATAACATTTAAATAAATATTTTTTTATAGTACCGAAGTCAATTTGCCATCTTTTGGCTTAGGAATTAGAAAATTTATAGTGCCCTATGTACCATTTATGTTTGACGCTCTACATAATGAAGAAATTTTACATGTAACTAGTTAATAAAAATTTTTGTCCAATTTTTTCCAATGCACAAACATTTCCCCTCTCCTTTTTAAAACAAAAAAATTATATTTTGTTTGAATTGTTTTTATTGGATATAGCATAAACGACAATGACGATTCCATAACAATTAACCAATTCCCCTTTCTCACTGTACCAGAGGCACGAATGGAAGAAATAACTTGTCAGTGAAGCACACTTTCAAGACTTGATTATGACAATATCCTGAATAATAGGAAAACCTTATCCTCAATAAACGACTTATGTTATGATTAAAAGTATTAATTCTAACCTGGCAATTTATTGTCACTCATCGGTCATGAGTATGTGGTTTACTCGTGCTAGGGTAGGATTAAATTGCAAGATTTTCAATTGCCCATTATGTCACGTTATTAATTAGTGCTCTCATTCACACCCTATCTTACATTTCATAGTCAGCATAACTTAATCCTAGAAACAAACTTAAAATCTCTTGCAAAACAAGTTGGGAACATCCCTGTTATCATGTGTATTTTACTTGCTAGAGTTAGCTACTTGATGAGAGCGTATCATAATTCATAATAAATAATAATACCACTGTAAGACTGTATTGTGTGCAATACACAGTTTGTTGAATAAGTAACTTATAAATAACGTCTACCACTTTGCATTACACTCTTTCTATCAATAAAACTCATTAAATTACTTTAAAATTTTATCTTTTTAAGATAAAAATATAAACTTTTAAAAATACCATTCATTTAATATTTCATTGATAAAAAATATTAAAAAAAGAGAATATATGAAAAGGATAATTTTAAAAAAATATCACTAATAAAATTTTATTTCTATTAAAATATTTTATATTTTAAAATACTGAATCTTTTATAAAAATATATTATAATTTGGGTTAAAGGAACTATTAAAAAATCAAACACAAAATCATTCCACCAACTCCACACGAAGACTTTATCGTAGAAACACCCTCTAATTACAATATTACGTTTGTACTCTATTGAATACTTTCTTGGGTGGCCCCGGTTCTGTCCCTTGATTGATCAATTAGCTTATCTAAAAAATTAATTGTATATAACATCATTTATTAACAGCTTATCATTTTGTTAATTTATAATTCAATAATGTCATGTTTGCGTCATTCTTTTCCAAGTTCCTCTTAAAAAAAATTATAAATATACTGTTACATGTAAAAGTCTAATAACTCACTTAAAAAAAACATTAATGTGTTGGATAAGAGAGTCTTTTAAATTTATAAACTTTATATTTATTTTGTGAAACTTTCCAACGTGAGACTCATAAGTCATAATAATGCCACCTCTTTTGAGAATCAACATTTTTAAAGACTTTGTTCCATGACACTTTACTTAATCTCTTATTAGTCAAGATTCTTTATGATTAGTCATTTCCATGACATTAATATCTCAATTAAGACACTAACATTTCAAAAGAAAGGCCCTAAACATGTACAAAGAAAGGCCTCATTTCAAAAGATTGGCATGTGGAGTGAGGGAGCCCTTGAACATGTAACTTCCGTTTATTTTGAGAAGCTCCTGATTTGAAACTCATAAAATATATATTTTGGTTTTAGTTGCTAATATATATTTAACTCTTTTTTTATGATAGTTAAGGACATGAAGTATAACTATATATATGTATGTGTATATATATATATATATATATATGAATGAATGAAAAGAGGCTTGAGACCCCATTACAGTTAGTTAAG